ACACCCGGAAACTATTAAATTTATCTAAAATATATTTAAATGTAAAAATAATATCTAATTTTCTTTTCGTAACGGAAAGAACCTTCGTGTCCATGAATAAACTTATGTTTGCACGAAGTTTTGCGCAGCGCAATATGTAAAATAGGATGAATCTTTATTATATTTAACGTATTGTTAGCCATACTCATTGTGTTTCGAGTTTCTACACAACTTAATGATCATGACCTCGCTTACTGCCAAGGATGGTGTACGTTGTCAGTAACCAGGTTTGTCTCCAAATATTATTAGTGTCCCTGTTTCCTTATCAATGTCGACACAAAAACGATAAGTATTCCAAATAACTTTCTCAGATTTTATTTATCGTTTCCAATAATCTTGTTTAAATAATAAGATAATAATAATAAAGCCCGTTTAATTTCCAATGATGACAAAAAAAATAATAAAATAGTGCTTAGATTTTTACATTATTTATTATTATTGACACATTTTATACATAATTGTTATCTTGTTATCCTTTATCCTAGCTACCTTCAGTACCGTCGATCGGAACCCCTTCATGGGGAAAGGCCTCCTCCAGCTTTCTCCAACTAACTCTGTCCATTGCTTTCTTTCTCCATTCGCTTCCTGCTACCGCTTCTATTTCTTCTATCCACCTTTTTTTAGGGCACCTTGTTCTTCTTCCTTTTGGTCCTTTCCTTTCGTGTAGGAAATATTAAATCACTCCATAAATAACTTCAAATAAATTTGCTTAGTATTATTCCTAAGTTGCAGATGATTACTTACATTACTGTAGGAAGCTGTCTGAACACCCCTTACGCAAAAATTTTGCGAGTGGTGAGAGATATTTGTTGATCAATTTTAATTATGAGCATAACCCTATATTATTATTTTTTTCTTAAACGCTACATTTAAACACAATAGCTTACGGAAATAGTACAATGTCGTCAGCACATAACTACGCCATATATAAAACAATGTGTTATTTTAGAAGGCTTTTCATTTCAACAACGCGAAATGTGTTCATTATTATTCACGAAATCAGAATATATGGATACGTAACTACAGTAATAATTACTGTACACAGAATACCGTATTGTGAGATTAACGTGAGTGTTTCTGCATTACGAAGTCAAATTTAATCTAACTTTACCGTCTGAATTGTACTAAATAGAAGTGTATAGTAATAAAAAACAAATTTAAAAATGTTGGTCCCTGTGGTAGTGTACCTTTAACGTTGGCATCATTTCCTCGCTGTATTGCGATACTTATTTGTTGAGCGAAGAAAGCACCAGGTCTAGGGTCACCGGTACTATCTACCAGGAGCCAACTAAACTCTTTAATTAGCGTCTGTGCACTTGAACCCCACGGCCCAAAAGGAACAAAATCGAAGGGAGGAAAGCCTTATATTTGAGCCCTTTGTTATTAACCGCCTGCTCTGCGGCGGAAAATAAAACAAAACTTGATCACATCTTTAAGTTTAATGCATACTTGACATCTAACAAGTTAAGAACGATTGTAAATCTTAATTAACCTTGAACTTAAGCGATGCGGATGTTGTTTGATTCATACGCAATAAGGTGCTATAAAATTCTAATTATAATTTATAATGCAAACCGAAAAAAGTGATACAATCACGAGATGTTATATAGTTAGCATATTCAACCAAAGATACTATTTATCTTAATAATATTTAAAAAAATCAACAACTATGACATTGATATAACTTTCAGCAATACCAATCATCAATGTAACAGACAGCTTTTAACGGTAAATATTAATACAATAGTTATTGTTAAACAATGTTTTTATTTTAAATAATATCTCGTTGATTGCCAGACTTAGTTTCATCACCGCAATTTCGGATTTTATTGCCAATTTGAGGGCTGTCTCCTCCCAAATATTTTAATTGTGGCATTTGTATAAGTATTGCTTAAAACACAATTTGCGATTGCATTTTGATATATTTCTTACATTTATGATATCGTTTATGAATTGTGTACAAAGCCGAATTTCTAATATTAAAAAACTTTTTATAACGAAGTGTCCAGCCTTGACGTCGCTCGGTTTCTAATAACTCCAGTCGCACTCCGGTAAGCAGTAGGCTTCCGATCGGAAACGTGTCTGGAGCTTTGTGAATTGTGGTTATCCTGGCTGATTTATTTCCGCCACATGCTTGCACTCGCAGCTTCACTTCTGATTATCTAACTGTAAGTAGATTAATAAACTACGAATAATAAAGCAAGTTTCAACGATTGTTAATAAAATAAACGTATACAAAGTTGTTGTACACAGGGTGAGTCAATTAAACGTGCTGAATTGGAATCTTGCTAATAAATAATTATTTTATGCAGTACTTAATAATAAAACTAATAATTAACTAGCAGAAAGGTATATAGTGTATATTGAAATAGATAAAGGTCAAAATATCAACACAATAAAGGAGCTGGGCCTCTCCGTAGTAAATTATAATCGGATTTTTTAACAACGACGTGTGGAATGTCGCAGGCATTCGCAATTAAGTGTTTTATAACATTTTTATTGCCTCGCGCCATCAGATGTAATGGCGATGTTACGACCACTTTCATATAGTATTATGTACAGTGCTCCATATACCACAGTCTTTATGTCTTGATTCAGTATCTTCTAGCCATGGCCTAGTCTTAGGACATAAAACTTAAATAGCTCATCAATTGTTTATCTAATTTTGCTAATAAATATCTCCGCAGTGCCTTTTCTAATCTTAGATTGACACCAGCAAGTTTTTACTTATACATTAGTGTGTAAATACAAGAAGGTATTTAAAAGTTCTTCGATCTACAGAGGGCGGCAAAAGCGGTATCTATTTCCGGGCTAATAAGAAAAGCTTCGCACCAGTCATCGAGGCCTAATTGTGCGAATATTTGCGGAGCCTATGTGCATCTCAAATTTATTACTCCTAAAATAATGAAAATTAGTTTTTGGAAAATGTGCTTATACTCTAAGTGAAAGTGATCTAAACTGTTTGTATAAATTTAATACCAATAGATGCCAGATAAGTGGCATTATCACTTAAGCAGAAACACTTTGCTGCACATTAAACAGTCATTTGTGATGAACCAATATTTTGTGTGTATAAAAGACGGGTATAAAGATACAATGTTAAATTACACTGGAAGTCACAGTTAATTCTTTATATTTCGCTCAAAATCTTGGAAGAGCACTTGTAACACAAAGTAACGTTCATCGTGGAAAAATAATTCATAATGAATCCCCAAACCCCCACATTTCGGGCCGTTATCTCTAAAATAAGCAGAAAAAGGATGAAAGAGCGTCGGTATCTTTAGAATAAGCAGAAGAAAATTGCGGTTTGTAAATCCTCATTGAGTGGTTAAGTTTATTACGCATCTGTAAATCAGGGTCTGGCGGGAGCCGACCGTCGGGTAATTCGACATTATTTGATTCCACAATTTAATTGATTGCCTTCTGTCCTTTGAGAATTCGCTATATTGGATTTAAACGTTCGGGATTGTTATTGGATCGGAATTGTCAATCTAGCGCCGGGACCGACTGTTGACCCCACGCCCCGCTGATGGGGAATGGTTCTGTTATTGACTTCCTACTGCCATTATGACAATTAAAGGCTAATTAGTAGCTGTTGCTTCTGGGATACAAATAAGGTTTAAGCCGCCCTTTGTTTATCTGCCAATAAAAATGTTAAATATTCGAACAATTTGATTACTCCTTGGTTGTAAAAGGTAAATTAATAAATTTGTCATCTTTTTAATGATTATGATAAAATCTTCGATCTGAAAAAGAAACCATTCTAAGCTACTTTAATATCTAAATTTTATTAATATATAACTAGTAGTAGTTTAAAATTAACGATTAAAATTAGTTCTTTTATTTCGTTCGTGTGCTTTAATATTTTTAGTTGTTGGAAGTCCCTCAAAGGCTATATATAATAATCTTTGAATTTTATTAATATCTAGATTAATTATGATTACGATTAGAAAGCTGAACTTCAAAGCGATTAATAGGCAACACAGTTTTGTTCGCATAACCTACTCCTTGTTATAAATGTTCAACTTCCTCATAGCTCTTAAAAGTAAACAAATCCTTTTCGTACCAGAGATTATTGTGGATTTGGAAACTTTTTTGATATCATTATAAGCGGAGTTGGCAAAATGTGTTATTTGGTCAGGGATGGGCGGACACTCCCCGGTAAAATAATATCGTTTAGGTGACGACGTTTTAGCTCGATGTATCTTTATTTTAATGAGTCACTTCAATATTAGTAAAAAGCTATATAGAAAAAGGACGAATTCTCTAAACCGCTAATGAGATAAAGGGCAGACATAATTTTGCGTCTGTTTCCTTGATCGCTTTTCTTTTACTGTAGGTGACTTCATTATTCAAGCATGTTGTCGATTTATGGATTTATCGGCATTCACACAATAAGCGAAGGGTAACACGCTTAACCACTAATGGCTAACACTGATCATAGAAAAGGAACAGCGTAATAGCAGTAACTATGTTGTACAAAAAAAAATATTATAGAAGAACAAAAATTGTGGTCTTCTATGTCACAAATCTACTATCCCTAGTTTTGACTTGCTACCAGTTT